GTCAACAGAGACCTCCAAACTACTGTGGTGTCAGCTTCATAATCACACTGCCACTGAAGGCAGCAACAGTCGTTAAAGCAATTATAGTAGTTGTCCTTGTGGCCCGTGTTGAGGATTAAAGGTACATTTCAGAGATAAACAACGAGCTTGTTTCTGAAAGGGTTAAACACTGGATTTCACTGGAGTGAAGGCTTGTACGCATATGTCAAACCGACACTGGATGCACAGTATGGTACACTGTACACTTTGAGACGATGCCGTGATCATGCAGTATTTGTATATGCGGTGATACAGCGTAACAGCCACACAGAGAAACCGCTCAAAGTGCAGATTGTTAGTAAGACTGAGGATGAAAACTGGTCACAGTGGCTGCAAACGGGAGTAAACTTGGCATCAAGTACCGGAGGTGTACAGTACAACGTGTTACGGCATGTGCAAATAAATGTGTAAACTATCAGAGGAGCGAGTGAATAAAGTGCAGTCAGGATTGATATCTGAAAACGGCGAACGACACTATGTTTCCAGTGGAATGATTGAAGACATTTTCACGGACGTCCTACTGCTATGACTGTCGTCTGCCAGAGGACGCCATGGACGCGTCCCTCTCACAACTGGAGGCAGAACTTTTGAACTTTGCATTTCAAACGCTCGGGGAGCCTCGCTGGAGAGGGATTTCAACTGTTGGGTTTCTCAGGCTGTTGAAAAAGAGCAAAAAGCTCCGCGCAGGTCTGCGTTTCCACTGAGGTGAAGTGAGACTCCATATTCCAGGCGAGGTCGGCCGACAGAAAGTCGTCCAAGACGGTCTGTGTTTCGTTGCTGGTCAGGAAGAGGTGACCCAGTCCTTCCGCCTGGCTGGTCACCGTCTGTGTCTGCGTGCTGTTCAGGAGCCGTGCTTGGTCTCCCTGACTGACAGCGGTGTGAGCGGAGAGGCTGGAGGCAAACGACGGAACTTCAGTCTGGGTTTCAGTGTCTGAGGATTCTGTGCTCATAGAAAAGCTCGTGTGCCGCAGGATGCTGCTCAGCGGCATCTGGCTACTGGCGTTTAAAAGGAAATTGAGGTCGGTCTGAGTTTGAGTGTCGAACAGCTCCTGGTCGCTGGTGTTGGCTCGATTTGGTCCCTCGCTTTGGTCTAGTTCGTCCATCAGGAGGAAGTCTGTCTGGGTCTGGATATCCAGAGACTCCAGAGGAGTGTCGCCGCCCATCCCCCCCAGCTCGCTCTCCTCCGTCTGTGTCTGGATGTGCACGGCATTGAGGAAATCCTCAAAGTCAAAGTCTATGCCGGTGTGTTGCTCTTGTACGGAGCCTAAAGCTGACCCGCAGGCTGCAGACGCCTCAGAGAGGACCTGGTGGCCCGACATACTGTCAGACAGAATGTTTTCCAGGTCATTTAACAGGTTCATGGTCTGGGTCTGGTTGTCAGCCATGCTCGTTGAGCTCAGCTCGTCTGTCTGGACCCCAAAACACATTCCACCGGACAACTTTGAGTCCTCGTACAGACTGTTGACCGCAGATGGCAGGGCGTCATCCATGTCAATGGCTGTCTGGGTGGAGACGCTGGGGGGGACGCTTTCAAACAAATCACTGCAATTAATAGCCGGATCTTCAGTCTTGTCCTCGGATCCCGGCATATTAAAGCGTGTCTGCGTCTGTGTGGTTTTGAAGGGGTTCAAAGATGAGGAGAAACAAGGAATGTGGCTCAGGCACTGGCTGTCCGTCTGAGCTGCGATGGACGACGTCGCTTTGGGGTGAGAGGAGAAGGTTTGGGTTTCGACGCTGACTGGAAGGAGGACCTGGGCGCTCACGCTGATGTCCGTCTGGGAGCAGGACGACACCGAGGACTCACTCGCAGAACACAGGCCTATTCCCTCCGCAACACTTAGCCCCGTGGGCATTTTGGACAGGTAGGATTTGTCCGTTTGAATGTTGGTGGATGTGCTTCGTCTGACGGGGGAGTCGTCTGGGCCTGAGGAGTCCAAACTGACTTGGACTCCGATGCTAACTGGGCCCAGACTGGAGCGAGACGTCTGTATGCTGTCTGTGAAGCCCAGAGTTTTAGGGTCCAGCTGGGGCACGACGGCCGCTGTGGCATGTGGCAGGAGCTGCAGGGTGCTGACGGAGCCTTGGCTATCGACGGCCAGCACCACAGACCGCAGGGCCCCGCTCTCTGTGGACGGGAGGAGGACGGGCAGATGGGCGAGCTGCATGACAGGAACACTGACCAACGCCATCTTTGGTCTTGGTAAAAGGAACTTCTGCAGAGTCTTAGAGGTGTTGGGATTAGAACCCATGAAGTCTGTGATTTGAACTGCTGTGTGAGAGGGAGCAGGAGCCATCTCTGTCAGCTCGATGGTTGTGGGGACAACGTGACCGGTTGACTCGTGGTTTTTCACTTTTTCAGATCCACTTAGAAGTTTCTCCATCTTCCGCTTTTTCACTGGTGGAATCCTGTGCAGAACAAAGAAATATCATTACTTTAAATCTATCTGAAGATTGAATCAAAAATTAGAGAATGGATTTTTTTTTGAGGGAGAGACACAGGCTAGTAAGACTAATATGGACAATAAATGTCCTCTCTTTTTTTCCCTGTATGCACCTGTGTTCTGTAGGGATCTCATGCCCCGTCCTGTAGATATGTGACAGCAGCGCCGCCCTGCTGGCGTACGGGCAGCCACAGGAGCAGGAGTAGATCTTCCCACAATCCTCCACGTGTCTCTTCAGGTCCCACTCTGTGCTGTAGCCGTTGTTGCACTTGGAGCACTTGTGTTTCTTCTCGGCGTGCATCTTCATGAAATGCTACAGTGAAAACACAAGATAACTCCATGGACACCAGTTTATTTATATTTCAAAGCTACCAACCATGTGACTCGTTTATCAAATACAAGATTATAATTAATTATTACAGACTTACTTGTTTGACGAGGGAGAACTGGGAGAATGGTCTGTTGGGTCCTCGGGGACAACCCTCGATGGGACAGCAGTAAAGTCTCTGACAGCCCTTCATGTCTTTTCTGACTGTGGGATTGATGATTCCATCCTAAAGAAAACAAGAAATGACAAACTTTAAACACGGCGATTATCTTTTTTTTTTAACAGAACACTCAGAACCTGAGGATTTTCACTCTTCCTGTCCTACTAATTTAACATATTTTTTTAGAGAAAACAATTCAGTCCACACTCCATAACAGTCATCAATAAAACAGCCAACCAGTCAACAAGGTGACCTCCATTCCACTGTAACACTACAGAGAGCTGAAGCTGACGAACCCTCATTCCATTCCACTGTAACACTACAGAGAGCAGAGACTCTGAAGCTGACGAACCCTCAGACTGAGTCATCAGGGAGATCAATTTCGACCAAAAAGATGGGGGAAAAAAAGTTAGTTTTTTTTTTTCTCGCTGCACCAACAACAGACCACATTCTTCCGTAGAGTTCGTGAAGGACTTTTCCCTATTTTTAGAAGAGGAAAGGAGCGTGCCCTCTATGGTAGTTAATCAGAGAAATAGCATCTAAACTCTGTGTTATCTTACATCAGAAGAATGTGATGTGATTGGAGACAGAAAAAAAAAAAACAACAACAGATACATTAGCTTTATGAAAGTACATCTAAAATGCTCTAATACTGGAAATGGAATTTATATTCACAGGAAAAATGGTCAGGAAATCACATTACTGGCCCCATAATGTACATGGTGTGAATGTCAAAGTGGGTGTTTTCACATCACTCGGGGCTGACGTCCATCAAAACAAAGATGATAAATTTAAACTCAAGGATTAGAAATCAGTGGGAGAAAGCCCGTCCACGTGATCCAAAACAGTTTTGTAGGGGGACAGCTGGACTGTCCTGGTTCACGTCTCATCCAAGAGGCTTCTTCAGCTCTAACTGACTGCTGGAAATCTTTGCCCCAGAGTGAATACCTGAAAAGAGAGTCATTACAGCAAAACAAGGCGACCACGCCCTGACACAAAGGCAGGAAAGTATGATCACTGTGGTCAAGCATGTGAGGGGAACTAACCTGAACTCAGAGATCAACAACTCAGAGATCAAATCTGGACAGATTTGATCTCTGGCAAACTAAGACCCGGGGGCCAGATGTGGCACGTTCAGCTTTTTACTCTGACCCGCCAAACTTTTTCAAATTATAAAAATTATTTATAGTGGCGCTTTGGACCAGAGGCAATGTCTCTGTCATTGGTGTGGAACCCTAGGGTTCGAATCCCGGTTAGGGCGGTTGGTACCTTCCAGTAGACTCACCACCTGTAGGAAGGTTCAGGGGGGTTGGTACGGTGCACGAGTCAAAAATTCTGCCCACACCTGAGCTAAAAGTTTTGAACAAGAATGTAAAAATTAATTAAATAAATAAAAATAACCAATTGCTGTATGTTTTTTCTAAGCGTAATAAGGGAACATAATCGAACAAAAAAAACCCAGGGAGAATCGAGATTTTTAATTTTAGATCAATCAGACTCATTACTGATAATAATACATTGTTGGTCTCTGTAGATTAGTGCAACACAGGATGGTGACCTGTCTTGGGTCGACTCTGTCTTGCCCCAAGTTATCACAGCACATGACAGATGGGCTTTTGGCTCAAAGATTCTTAGTAAGAATCTGTCACTTCTTGCAACTGCACAGCCAAGACTAAATGTGTGATTATGACGCAGCCGCACAGAACAAGTCCTTCTGCAAATGTCCAATTTGACAAAAGTTTCTTGAGGCCGAGCTTCACGTCCAGCAGTCTGGCACCGCTGCACGTTTGGACCTTAACGTGCTATTTTTACTCAGCTAAACTCGGGAGAGCTCATTCACATTCCCACATCCACCTTTGACAGACAAAGAGCCGAGTCAGTCGGAGGACAAAAGGGCTGCCTTTCCCAGCAAAGAACTCTATTCACAAAGAGTAAACAGGGAAACGCTGCATCCCATGAAAAAAAAAGCCCAGTTCATTTAGGACACAAGAACCAGAGCCAGAGGTTGTTCCACAAAACTGAACCGCCTCCATTTGCTGCCAGACAAGTATTGATAACAGGCTGTGTATCAATCAATAAGTGTCCCTGTGATCCAATAGGAAAGGTGACACTGTGACCACACCATCACAACAGCCATCAACAGGACCAATGAGAGAACCAGGAACCTTTTTACCTTTTTATAGTATAGTTTATTTTTTATTCTCAATGCAAACCAAAGATAGGACTTGTGTCTATCAAAAATCTAATGTATAAAATACCTATAGAGAAATGCTTCTCAATTCTATAGACACATAATCCAGAACAATGTTGAGATTGTTTAACACTTTTCTGATGCATAAATATATCAATATCATGAGAACACTTTTCTGATGCATAAATGTATCAGTATCATGAGCTTGCTGATGCTAATGCTAATAGCTGCAGGGTCAAGCCTTGAGTTGGTGATGAATAAATGATCGTTATCAAAATTTTTGCCTTTACAACAAGAAGGTCACTGGTTCAAACACAGGTTGGTCTTTCTGCATAGTGTCTACATGTTCTTCCCATGAACGTAGGATTTCTCCAGGTTGTCCAGTGTTCTCCCAGAACCCATGAACATGCTCGTTATGAGACCTGATTGATCAGACACAGTAAACTGATCATAGGTGTGAATGTGAGCGTGAATGGTTGTATGTCTCTGTGATGGACTGGTGAACTGTCCTGTGGTAATTAACGGACAGATCCATCTACCAACTGTTTCACCTGTGCAGATGAGGCTTAATCACCTTATAGTAATGATGTCATTCAATATGTAAATTCACTTTTAAAGCAAAGAGCTGCACATGGCGACCGCCATGTGGCTCCTGCGGCCGGCCTCTGGGTTACGACCCGGTGTTTGGAAATGATTGTTTTGAACAGTGCTACCTCCCAAACTGTAAACTTACGCGTTCCATCCAACCGACAAGGAACTGCGTACCCTAAAAATACGTCTCGCGAGGGTTTTAATACAGTGTCATCTGAGCTTAAACGCAGTCATCCGAATGACTTGCGGTTTTTTACTGTTGTTTAGCTGAGCTTAGCTTAATTAGCGCCGCAGCCATTGAACTCAGCTTTCAGGTCTGTCAGCGTTTATACCTTTATTCTATGACTCTTCACCAGATGCATGTTGAGCGCAGGTGTGTTGGGCAGAATCTTGCCGCATCCCTTCACGGTGCACAAGATGTTCGTCCTCACTTCTTTGGTGAGCTCCATGATGGTGGGCTTTATGATTTCCCCTGACTGCTGCGGCGACAAACTCTCGTCGTGGCTTCTCGGACTGTCTGAAGAAGCCTCGTCTTTCTTGGGCGCCCTGCCTGCTGCAGAGGCAGCCATGTTCGTCTGTTGACAGTCCACTCTGTGTTTGGCCAGGAGCCCGCAGAGTTGAGCTGAATGAACGGCTGCTGGTGCAGCATAACGTCCCTGGGTTTTGCCTGAAAGGCTTCACTTCCCTTCACTTCCACCGAAGAAAGGAAAACGACCCGAGTGACGTAATGTCCGGCGCACTTCCTATACTTTTGTGTTACGTAAATAAAAGCTCGAGAGATCTAACGAGCAAAAAGGGGGAGGGACGCGAGGCAGATTTGATACTGTAAAATTTAGTGGTTGCAAGAATGCATGCCATTCACGTTTAATTAGTATTAATCCAAATGTACCGGAAGTGTGGATTTGTGGAATCTCTCAGATTTTCTCTTTACACATAAGTAATTTACTCAATCGTAAATCTGATTAAAAACAAGTACAAAAATTACCTGAAAATATTTATTTGAAAAAAGTAAAGCATTTGCCAACATTTTTATATAGACATGTTGGGGTTGGAGTTTTTAGTGGCTTAAAGTCGTTTAAGAAATAACTGCTTTTTACTATACAATTGCTTAAAGTCACACAATAAATAACACAAAGTGAGACATTTTTCATATAAATCACTCAAAATGTTTGAACATATTGGACTGTAATATCACAACGTTTATAAAACCTGGGAAACAACCTGTCTAAACAGATATGAACTCTGAGTGAAAAAGCTCAAATGTATGGTTTCTCAACAACATGCTGGTAAAGTGTTTCACTGGTGAGAAAAATAGTCGCAGATGAGAAGAGGACTTTTATTAAAAAAGAACAAATGTAGAATATATGCATTTTAGCTAGTATAAAAGTAACTAAGAAATAGTTAAGAAAACTCCCACAAATAAAGTTCCTAACATCACAACCTTTACAAACAACATGAAAAAAAATTAAAAACTTGTTATTTCTTAGCATTTTTACAGGGAGTATAATACATTAGGCTGTACAGAAGGAAAAGACAATTATAATGACAGTTATTGCACAAGATAAATGGAAGTCAGGAAATAATGAGAGCAAAACCGAACTGGACATGATTCTCCTTGAGCCATGATAACAGATGAAGTAATACAACTGAGCCACTGGTGAAGTCCGTTTTAAAGACACCGTACTGCGAGTCTTTTTTAGTATGAGACCTGTGTCAGTCAGACCTGTGACGCAGGTCTTTGTGAAGATGAAGCAGCGTCAGTATCTGTGACGTAGAAAAAGTTCCTTCCTTTCTTAGGAATGGAGGAAAGCAGCTGTGCGACAGGAGTGGACACGATTCCTGGGAAACAAATTTGCATAAAACTAGTAACACCGAAATAACACATTAGGATTGTTTCCTGGCGTCTTCATGTTGTTTTAACATCAGTAACAAACATCAGAAACAATCAGAGAAGCAGTGTGGACATCTGCTGGCTGAAAATGGAACGAACCACCTTGATGGATGTTTTGACAGGTCAGAGCGTTGAGTTAAGACGAGGCTGGATTTCAACTGACAGTGACTGGCAGGTTTGCCTGTTTGTGTATTTGTGCCGCACTTCAGGTGTGAGCAGAACATAAATCTTCTCTAAGTCAGATTCCAGAACATCCATTTTTCAAACTTAAAAAAAATGGTGTAACTTTTTTTTACAACAATTATTTTATTCATATCATTATGAATAATACCATTATGATTAATTGACGTTAACAATATTCCATTTTAAATACTATAACAAATACACATGTCACTCTGCACCTGCTGCTAATGGTTTCACCTCTACTGGTCACTATAATTCAGTTATCAATTCTGTTGTCACTATTATATTACATACTATAACAGAGTCGTTAAATATAAATTGTACAAGGAGAGAAAGAATATGAACTAATTTACAATATTATTTTAAAATAAAAGAATATAAACAGCAATTATTGTTGTACAATAACTGTATTTTTAATATTATTCATCTGCGACCTCAAGTTTATCAAGCATTTGCTTTAGGCTGCCCTCCTGTGGTTACTTCATGTAACTGCAGGCAAGTAGACAACGACAAGTTTTCCGTTTTAACGGGTTGAGTCAACACGTAGACAAACATTAAGGTACCTGATGTTGCACAGTGTCGAAGTGACTCCAGGAGATTTTTGCTTTCAAACTTGACCACACATTTAAAAGGCCTGGACCGTTCTGACATGGTCTGGTTTGTGGGGTCTTTGTATTTTGTATCCAGCTTTGTACCCACCGGGAAAAAAAAAAAAAAAAAATCAAATGACAAAAACCATACACATCTTAGTCACAAGAAACATTTTACACACACTGTAGGAGAAGATTTTAGATTTTATTTTACTGAGACATGCCAAGTTCAAAATCCCATCAAAGTACAGGGCAGTAAATAATCTACAGCTGACAAGCTGATCCCCCAAACCTTTGAAAGCAACTCTCTACAAGTTCTTCAAGCCACCATTAAGATATGCAGCACTGACTAACTGTTAGCAACAGAAGTTTGTGGCTTCCTGTTTTTTCTGTTGTGTTACATTAAAAATCGAGCATCATGTGAAGATGACAGTAAATCTGTCATATTTGTGTGTAAAAAATACTCAATGTTGGGGCTTAGGACATTTTGTTATTGAAATAAAAACTGATTTAAAAAAGTTTTAGCCTCTACATAACAGAATTCCGAGACTGCTGTACCTTGTAAACTGTGGTCTCTATCTGAGGCAGCGCTCCACGACCAAAGGTTTCACACGCCAACCTCCCTCTGGTTGATGCAGTTCCAGCTTGTTCATGTACTTTGTGTGGGTCTGTAAATACAAATAGAGGAACATGGACGACAGCGTGACGAAAATGACAAAGCACAGTTTCTGTAATGTTGGACCAAATAAACGAATTATGCTGATTCAGAAAATCGTACCCGGGACGTTTTCTTTTGTTTCAGTTAGGAGACTGGGAAAACTGTTGGGGAACATCTGGGGGAAAAACAAGATTGTGTTAGAACCCAATCAGAATGTATGTATCTTCATGTATCTCCATCGTGAACAACCCATTCCAAACATCTGTCAGGTGCTGGCAGTGTTTTGTGTGTCACTGAATGCCTACCTGTTGATATTGCTTCATCAGCAGGTCCCTGATGGCAGTGAGTTTTCGCCCACTGAGGTTAGCTTCTTTTATAGTTTGATATTGTGTTGACAGCAATAACGCCTCAAAACAAACAAACAAACAAACGTTACAGATTTTTAAAAAAATAACACTGAAGGAAAAATGAAGCTAAGACAGGAGAGCGACGTCTCACCTGGGATAACAGTGGCTTTTGTTTTGAAGTCAAAGTGGTCACAAAGACGTACGGGGTTTGAAGGTGGTGAACAGCGTACGTTGGTTTCATGTGATTGGGCCGGGTGTAGCTGTCGCCCCACGCGATTCGAATCCATATGGCTTCATCTGTGTGCTTCTTGATTTTAATAGAGACCTTCGACCCAGCAACACAACGTCGTTAACACACGCTCAACACAAAGACGCAGATTTGATCAGAACAAGAGAAGACTGAAGGGAGGCGTCTCACTTACATGTCGCACAAGTTCAACGAGGTGAGATTTAAATTGCTTTTTGAACTGTATGAACTCCACAGTTTGAGCATCGTCTGCAGGACAGAAGGTGAGACATAAATAATCAGGAAGATAAGTTTGGATGAAAAATTGGATGCAGTTCAATTTAAACTAACCGAATTGCAGGTTTTTTAACATTATATTTTGTGGAAATTAATTATTGACTTAATTTCAATAATTATAACTTTTTTGACGACATATTCACAATATGTTCTTGCCTTGTCAAGTGACAAAAACATTAGAGGCTACATACCTCCAGGATCAATGAGCTGCAAGGCATGCCACATGGATTGGTTTGGACTGTCAATTACATCTGAGAGAGCAAGACACCAAAAGAGGCAAATGATAACAGGTTTATAGAAGGGTGTGATTGTGACTTACTTCTGAACAGAAACAACCATAAAGTATTCAAATATAAAGAGGGCAAAGGCATTAAATATGAATCTGAAGCTCTCGTTAATTCATCCACTATTTTTGTTAGGAATGACCTAAATGAATGTTAAAGGACACAAGGACTAAAGATCAATAAACCCAGGTCCTATGAGTGACAGGTCCAGAAGGAAATTTAGGACGAAATAAATCAAGAAATACGACTGCGATACGTTTACAGTGTCTTCTTAATAACGTGTTCATCTTGTAGACGACATTTTGAAATATAGCAATGAAAAATATTTTTTCACTCGACTTACTTATCATTTCAAGCTCTGTGATGTGTTTCATTGACAGCTGGTTCTCCTGCGGAGTCAGAGAGAAGTGAAAAAAATGACAAGAAGGGGAAAAAAATCGTAAAAACACTGGTGACATTTCTTTCTTGTGGAACAGGCCTCAACAATAGTAAACGAAACATTTCATAACCCACTTCTGTAAAGTATGAATAAAGACCTTTCCTTAAATTAACCTTATTTTATATGATTTCTCACAAAGAAAACACGAACCTCACAGATGTCGATCACAGTATCGGTTAACGCCCGTTTTGACTGAGTGAAGTCGATGCTTTGCTGCTGTGCCGCGGTCAATCGGCCCCATTTTTCAAGCGTGGCCTTCAACGTTTGAATCGGAATTCGACGAATAACACGCTGCAATAACTGCTTAGACTTGTCATCCATTTTCTCTTAAGTGTAGTTAAGGTGCTTTCATTTATATTTTGAGATAAACTTCACTATGTGTGAACGTCTTGCAGACAAACACGAACCAAACAAACCGCCGACTAGAGGGTAAACAAATCAACCAATCACAATTTGAGAAAAGTAGTGACTACTTTCTTCTACCGCCCTCTGTTGGATTGGAGCTATACTACTAACAGTCTACTTTATGTACCTTTCATTTTGTTCGTTCTTGATGTTATATTTTTTACTTTTAACTATTTACGTATTCATTTTTATTAAATAAAATTACATGTATTTCTATTTTTAATAAAAAATAAAATACTGGTATTTGGTTTCCACCTACGAACTTCTGCCTCCCTAAAGTTCCGCCTATATTTCAATAAAACCTTATACTATTGGTCGAGAGGTAGTAAACTGGCTGTTGATTGATTCCTGAATATTGCGTCTCGAGCTGTAAATTTCATAACCATAACTGTTAGCCTGCCCTTCTCCGGTGTGTGTTTTGTAGACAAAACTACGCGTGTAATGAATGCATTTAAAATGTTTCGTTTTCCTTCATAATATGGAAAGACTAAACCTTATGAATACATATACTTTCGATTTTGTTGACAAACGCTAAGTGTCCTTCCACTAGGATAGCGTGACATTGGAACAAGTTCCCAACAGGTAAGGATCCCGTGGAGCTTTCTAAACGACTAGTTAAATATTCAAAACAGACAAAAACAATGCACTGCATTACACACAGCCTCTTGCAATGTGTCGTCCCAATATAACACACCAAGTCTATGTTAGAGTCACTCTTTAGAACAAGATGTTAGACTGGTCCCAAAGCTGTAGATCGTCATTTCTTACAGATTTTGTTGTCACTCACCCTTTTCACAATGACTGAACAGGAGGGAGAAGGATGGGGAGGCATGAGTATCCTTCAGCAGGCACATTATTATTATTATTATTATTATTATTATTGACAAAATCCTTATCATTCGGAATCATGCGGAAATGATAAACAATTTATATATAAACCACAATTTCTATATTTTATTGGATATCCTGATCATTCTGATCAAGACTTTAATCTCATCCTGATACTTGTCAATCAGTGTTCCTTTTGTTTGTAACTTTCCAGCACGTCCGCCGTTCTACTGTAAACCCTTAACCCAGAATGCACACAGACCTCTCTCCTCACCTGCACACGGACGAGTGCAACGTGCTGATAGCTCGGCTAAGGCAGTGTCACACGGAGGTCGGTCCGTTTCTAAATTGTTTTAATTCTCCGTGCTTTACATTTGCATCGAAACAAAATTAAAAATAACTTTCTGTTATCTGCAGCACAGTTTCCTGAAGTTCCTTGGCACGTGCAACGACATGGACCGGGCAATGCGTCACTGCCTTCATAAAGAGGTCTGTCGATTTATTTTTATTTTATGCTTTCAGAAAATAAAAACCAAGTGATTTTCTACGGCGACTGACCTTCAGGGTTTGTGTCGCTTTCCAGAGGCTGGAAAAGCGAGAGCGCAGCAAGCAGCATGCACTGGAGATGAAGAGGAAACTGAAAGAAGCTTCTAAGGAGCGTGTCTGAAGGACATTTTACTTTGAGACTCGGTCAAAGTGCTGCAAGATGAAAAGTATTCAGATACAGCAGCATTGGAGCGGAGCTGTTGAAGTGCCTCCCTTTCTGTTTTTGTGTCAACACACACAGAAAGTATTTCTGTCTCTGTAGAAAGACAATAATTTGACTGAGCTTGTTCGTTGCTATTGTTGTTAAAATTTAATTTATATAAAACAAAAGTCAAGCGTGAGGATCTAACTAATTAATTTAAAATCTCATCTTTGTGCGAACAATGGTAAGCCAAACAGTGTTTCCAAGCATACGTCAGTCTGAAGATTTAAAAAAGGTTTACAGAACCAAGATTACTAGTTTCAAACTTCCTAAAACCCCTTAATCTGTGGATATTTACAGTAATGCTAATGACAGAGCCTCTGCGCCTGCACCTGCTCACTCATATATTTCAGCAACAACACTTGACATCTGGAGACAGTGTTGCTTTGCTGTTGGCAAACAATTGAACAAACCAGAAGTGTTTAACGAGGGAGATGGTTTGGGTTTTAGAGTCCCACAGGAATTAAAAATGTAATTTTCCATTATATTGATATATACCATCCATTAATGCTTCTGTGCCTGTGCAAAAATGAACACAAGATTCACCTTGACAGCTGAAAGAGTCACTAAAAATGAACACAAGATTCACCTTGACAACTGAAAGAGTTAATCAGTAAAATAAAAAATAATAAATAGATATCTGGAACTGTGTGTATGTATTACATAATAATATGTTAATAAATATTGTGAAAATTGTTCTAATATTGTGTGGAGTAACTGTAGAATTGTGAGTATAATATGGCTACTCAACCACCTTTAAAACAAAATAAATCATAAATCCTGAATGAGTGGACACAGGGTCAGACTGAGATGAATGAGTGAACACAGGGTCAGACTGAACCTTGCTGCAGAAAATGACAGTAAATAGATATGTTGAAAACAATAAAAAAAATCACCTGACTGTTATTATAACAGGACAGAGATCATCAGATGTTACTGTGGAAAATTACCCAAATTCACTTAATTGGTCTAATTGAGACTCAGCAGTTCAAGAAGATCTTTGTCTTTCTTCAATTCCTGGGGGTAAACCAGCATTTTGTCCAACTAAACAGGGCCAGATTTCACACTAAGTATGTAAATTGAAACTAGAATAAAGTGACTAAAAAGAATAAAGAATAAAATACATTTTATAATATGTAATTTTTAATTATGTACAATTTTTGTTCCATGCTGTGTGATTGATTTTTTTTTTATTTTAAATGCTGCAGGAAAACATCTTCAGGGGGCACTATTTTTAACAGAGCAGTTTTTCTCCACCTTCTGATTTTCTTCTTCATGCCTTCTGAGATGACTTGACAGTTCTGGTTGCAGCAGGTCTGCTCAGAAGCCCAACAACACACCGTCCTCTGGGATAAAATGAGCCCTGAGCTACTGCCACTGTTCATTTTGAAGGTCGGTGACTGAAAAGTTCCCCCACTGTGGACTGGGATTTTCTCCAGCCAATCTTCCATTACCAACAACATAATGCAGTAAGCCGTACAGCTAATGGTTGAAGTGAAGCGCTGTTATAGCAAGGCACATGGTTTAGGCTATAATCCATTCATCCATTATCTATAATGCTTGTCCTATCACGGCCAGCAGGGCTTTGGGCTGCAGCCAATCATATCTGAGGTCAAATGTGCAGTTGTTTTTTAGAGTTTCTGACTAAATCTAACAATCTTATCTGCACTTTTTTTTTAGAAATGTGTGAGGAAAACAAAACAGACTAATTTTACTGGTATCACAAACCTTTTTAAAGAATAAAAATTCTATGTGGTGTGAGGAAAACAAAACAGACTAATTTCACTGGTATCACAAACCTTTTTAAAGAAGAATAAACATTCTATGTGAAAGGTTTTTTTTTTGTTTGTTTGTTTTGTTGCAAAAGTCCAAGAAAGTTGTTGCTCAGTTTTTTAAGGCATTTATATCCATCAGTGTCAACTGTTGGGTTGGATGGAATGGTAGTGGATTTTTGTTCACTTCGCTCAGTGTCATGTAGGTCAGAGGGTGACACCTGAGCCATTTCCTGAGTGAAGACAATGACAGGGAGCGTACAGCTGAGAAATTGTTACCACAGTGTAAATGTTTCCAGGCATTTTATAAAAAAGAAGCTTACTCATTCTTAGTCATAGGCCAAACAGGAAGTGTTAAAGGATGCATTTGTTTTATAAACATCTTAAGGCTATTTAGATAACATTTTTTATTTATCTTTTGGCTATATTTATTTGGTGAACTATTTATCTCTTATGGAATTTTTGGCTCACCCTCAGTAACTTTATCTGTTATTGGGCAACGCGCTAGCTATCTTTACCACACCACACGTTTGAAATGAACAAATAGCCAGCTTTGCTATATTTTAAAATAGTAGCTATAGTCTAATAACCCTTTAGCCGCATTTAGACTCGTGCCCTCCCTATAATCCTGGCTTCATCTTTACTTATCTACTGACAAACTTCTAATTGGTTGGCTAACTTGTGGCTAAATGTTTCAATGTTAGCTTTCACCTAAATGTTATATACTATAGTTATTTGTTTCTTGGTTGGTAATCTCATATATATTTGTATGGTTGTCTTTTTAGGCATTTCCTTTTGGCATTTTAGTTAATCTGTTCTAGGTAAAATGTATTTCTTTTTAGCTACACCTGAGCTGTTTTAGCAAGTATGCTATAGTACTCACTAGCATCTTTCAACAAATTTGAAAACAAACACCATCTTGTGAAAGCAATGTTTCTTTATTTGAAGTAATTCATTCTACCCATCACTGTGACAGATAATTCAATTGTAAGGCACCATAAGATGTGCTTTAAGGCCAAAAAAAACCCAAACAAAAACAACAAAAAACAAAAACATCAATGTAGTTATACATGAAAAAACAAAAACAAAAACAAAACAAAAAAAAATCAATGTAGTTATACATGAAAAAGAAAATCTGTCAACGGTGGCGTAGATTTTACATAGGTTTGTGATGCGCCTTTCAAAGGTTAATCGCGTTTGTCCGACAACTTAGACCGTTTTAGATTTCAACCCCTTAAGTGATTGAGTTGGACACCTGCCCCCCGGTGGTAGAAATGTCACAGATCGATTTCAGAAGATTAGAATAAACCAGATGATTTCAAAGTTTCAGAGCCTCACATAATGCAACATTTTGAATGCAATTTGTACAATTACCACCAAGAGGCACTAAATCCTAATCTCTGCTCTTTAAGAACAACAAAAGTTTTGGTCATTCAATAATTTCCTGTAATTATAAACCTGTAAGAAGTCACACTGAAAATCAATTTGCAAAACAAAAAAAAATCTTCGAAGCATTCCATGCTAAATAAGCGAGTTCATCTGCCTATGCTCCTCAAACAAAGTCAAACAAATATTTTATATTAAAGTATCTGACAGGAAGTGACTTAAATAATTTACAACTAATAACTTTAGACTATGTCATCCAATTACAATGACCACATAATTTAAAATGAAACCACACACATTTACAGTAAGTGACAGCAGTGTTTTAACATTTTGGCTTAGACATTTACATCATTTTATATACAACATTTATATATTATTTAGATGTCTTTCTCGTCAGGGTGCGGGTATTTGTCGGGGGGGTTAAGAAAGTCAAGTGCCTGTGGAGCAAAGAAAACCATATGGCACCGCACATCCAAACGGTTATCTCAAATAAATACAAAAATAAACTGCGACCATTTCTAACAATACTTACAACGCTGGTACAAAAACATACCCTGAATGACAGCCAACATATTCTTTTATATGTACAGTATTTTACATGCAATTAATTACTCAACACAGTCTACGTCATTTATATATTATTCTGTTCGGCATGTGTACAACTGCAAAATTGGACAAATATCTTCTGAAGATTACAAAACAGTTTCACAGACCTACACACAGTATGTGGGGTTTTCTTTTTTTTTTTTTTTGGTTACACAAAATAGATTCCTACCTATATTACACATCAAAATATAGAAAAATGTATTTAAGTCTCACGTCACCACATGCAGGTGCAGGGACAAAGTCGACTCCGGGGACACAGCTGCTGCACTTTCACAAGAGTGAACACAGTGACAATGAGTGATTCAAGCACAAACCGTCTTTTTCATTTCCTAAAAAATACACAAAAATGATAAATAATTTACACAGACACCATTCCCACAGTCAGACATCTGATGCATTTCTGGAGGCTTCACTCAAGTGATTAAAATCGTGGAGGGAAAAAGCTTCCCGTAAAGTTTGGAAGCTGCTTTCTACACACGATGCCAGGGTAATGACTCAAATTTACCAAATCAAACTTTTGAAAATTCTTCTTGATATTTTTCCATATCAATAATTTCATCATTTGAATTAGTCACAAATATAAACAGGTGTAAAACACATACATCTACCTGCTGCCATCTGTCTTTGTTACAGTGATATAGAGAATGAACAAAATGTTTGTCAGAGATTTTTCATGTTATTTAAGGTCTCAAATTATGATCATCATAATTTGAGACCTACAGTATATTTTAATTTTTTGTCAGCACAAGAAGAATTATGCAAAAGTTCAATTTGGAACTGCATTTGTATTAAAGATAAATCTTTAAAATTCCCATCTGAGACTGAGGACACACTATACAACTTTCACTTTTTTTGAAAAGACTCGACGTACACACTAACAGATCGACTTCAACATATTTTTGTATTGTGACTCACAACACAGAGTAACGCACGGCACATGGTCGGTCACACCAAGAAAACGGATCACATTACACTTTTCACAGGTTATGTCATTCAGCCGACATCACATCACATCACATCACCACAGTTCAAGTCATACCTTCTACATTTCTGTGGTCCATGTTCACTTTGTTACTCACTACTTCCTGTCATCATCTGATTGTGTTTCCTGTGTCCCTCTGTCTGGTCTGAAGTGACTGTTGAATAACAACACTATTCAACTGGGTCTATAATCAGTCCACACTACCTGATTGCATTAACATTTGGCTAAAAACAAAAATCCAATTTGTTTGAATAACTGGGGCTGAGCTTCAATCAGAACTCTGACTGGAATTTAAACACAAAAAAACCCAGCCCACACCAACATATTTTTTGTGCCAACTCATCAGCCCAACAGCCCCAACTACTGCTGACTGGGGCAAAAAGAGCTTGTGGTGAAAAGGCACAGTCTATAGAGTGACTCAGGGTAATGGTTCACTGTAGTTACACATGGACAACAAAGCATGAAGCCAGTTGAACTGACAGTTAACTAGAAGTAATAGTGACTTTGGTATAGTTTAATAATTTAAGAATAAATTAAATATGGTTTTATTTGTGTTAACCAAACTCATTTTAATAGTTTTATGCCCTTTATGTATAGTTTTGTTACAGACCAAAATTAGAACAAATGATTTTTCTTTTTTTCATAGTGGTTAATGTGACAGTATTAAAAAAAAATACTGACGTGGAATCACAACTTGTATCTACCTCCTTATTATCATATTTGCTTTGAAACTGACTGGAAAATTACTGAAACAAAAGGCATCAATTTTGACACAGGACTAACTCTTGTTTGCTCTTTCTATTCTCCCATCAAGGACCTTCTATTCGGGGGTTGTTGATTGACCAGTGATTTTAGACATGTGTGTAGTTTGGTGAACATCACTCACAGCCCTGAGATGAACAGCCTGACTTTTCTCTCAGCCTCTGCATACAAGTTACATCACATAAAATGTTTTAACGTATCACAACTCAGGACAACGCTTCAACTCGTAGATCGACCCAAAAGAATTCCAGATACCATGCAGTCCTGCACATATCGGTACATCTGGTCACTCTTCTCATTAGTCTTCATTTAATTTGTGAAGTCAAAGGTTTATGTTCGTTAACTAAAGAATCTCATTGTAGAGTGAGACGTTCTAGAGCTGTTCTGTTCTGACATCATTTGTTCGACTATATAGGATACAGGATACAATACAGGTTGAAATCTTGTAGAGCGATGTTGCAGTTTTTCTCCTTCAAAACGGTTATTTTTTATGTGTTTCTTTTGTTGTACTATTTCTACGCTCTGTACAGTGAATGGAATGTGTGCAAAGGAGAAAAAAAAAAGATCCTCGAGCAAACTTTGGTGACAACTTGAAGTAAGAACAAAAAAAAGAAAACAAAGCCAAAATGTGCATTCCACACAGACGACAAATAATTTGAAAACATATATAAATATATATATATATATATATATTAATATATATATATATTTGAACATCACATTAAAATGTCCTAACCGAAAGATTATGATTTTATGAAAACGTCTAAGCTTCTAAGCAATGCTAATTCGTCTCTTCGCCCTTTGACAATAAAGAAAACGGACATCTACGTGTTCCAGATGAGGAGCACACAATAAAGATGGTCATGAAGTGAGGTCTTAAACAAACAGACCTCCTGTGTGTCCTCTGTGAGGACGGACGGAACTGAAGAAAGATTGCGGATCACAACTTCCCACCTCTGAGTGTCCCCGACTTGAACCACCTCTGCTTTCCTGGCTCTGGACATGTACTTATCTATGCTTTGCCGTGAAGGTAACTGAAGAGCGCCTCCAGGCCTTTGGTTGAAGAAAGCAGCTGCTTTAGCATCTGACACTCCTTCTCGTTCACCTCCTCCAGGAGAGACATGACGATACTCCTCACCAGACATTTGGACTCCTCCAAAACCTGACAAACACAGACACAGCGGGGGATGGGGGGTGGTGAGGTAGTTACACTTCAATGAAGGGGTCTTCAACCTCAGACTATTGATATCAACACCTACCACTGCACTGCAGGACGCCATCTCCTTCACACGCAGCATCACTTCTTGGTTGAACGTGTTTGGCCAGAAAACTTGGGACACCAGGCCTCGAATGCAGGCTTCTTGAGCCGCGATCTTTGTTCCACAAAATAGCATTTCATTGGCCTGCCATTGGAGAAGGAATATTATTTAAAAATGCAATGGTATTAGCTGTAACAACAGATTTTGCGCGAAAGCCTTAGCTGTAACAACAGATTTTGCGCGAAAGCAAAATTGACACGGTGACCAACCATGGCTACACCCAGGATCTGTGGAAAGGTGTAGGAGGAGCAACCAGACGGGGTCAGATGGATGGCTGCGCACGGAAGTTGGAACCAGGCTCTTTCACTGGCCCACACCACGTCACACAGTGGCAGGATCGAAGCCCCCAGGCCAAGAGCCGGCCCATTTATCGCCACGACAATGGGTTTCTTGAAGTGGATAAATGCCAACACAAAATCCCTGAAGGAGAGTCGGAGAACAATCAGCACCAAATGTACAGTATAAAAAACTGATGGCCAGTAAAAAAGAC